AGACCCACGTCACACGTGTCAGTCTTCACGGACGCGTCGCTGTCAGGCTTGGGGGGGGACATGCCTATCTCAAGCAGTAGGGGCGCTGTGGCCCCATCACACATCAGCCCACATAAATGTTTTGGAGTGTCGCACAGTGCTGAATGTGATTCAGCACTTTGCTCCCGTGTTACAGAATCAACACGTGTTGATTCACACAGACAACAAGGTGACTGCTGCGTACATAAACCAGCAGGGGGGTATGCGCTCAGCCCAGATGTTACACATTGCGCGAAAGCTTCTGTGTTGGGCTCACCAAAATCTGTTCTCCATCAGAGCAGTTTACATACCCGGTGTTCTGAACAAAGGGGCAGATGTGATGTCCAGGGGCGGCCCACGTCATGGGGACTGGACTCTCCATCCAGACCTGATGACTCAGATGTGGCAGAAATTTGGCAAAGCAGCTGTGGACCTGTTTGCGACACGAGAGAACGCTCAGTGTCAACTATGGTTTTCCCTGAGCCCGTGAGACGAACCACCGCTGGGGGGTGGATGCGTTTGCTCACAGCCCATGGCCCAAAACGCTTTGGTACGCGTTTCCTCCACCTCCTCTGATTTTACGGTTCCTGAACAGAGTTCAGGAGGAGAGATTGACAGCTCTCCTGGTGGCCCCCGAGCGCGTGAACACACCATGGTTCTCAGTCCTACAACGCCTGCTATCGGGGCGCCCGTGGAAACTGCCATGGAGGGAGGATGCTCTCCTCCAGGAAGGAGGAGTGATCAGGAGTTACCCAGAAATAGGCCAGCACCTGTGGGTCTGGCCACTGAGCGGTTCCGCTTAGAGAGGATGGGTCTCCCACAGGAGGTAGTGCGCACAATCCAGGATTCACGTGCTGCATTTACCACAGCGCTGTACATATCAAAGTGGACAGTTTTTCAGCGCTGGTGTACAGAGAAAGGTGTAGAGGCCACCTCATGTACATTAGGCGGCGTGCTGTCTTTTCTACACAGCTGATGGACAGGAAGTTGGCTTTTCAGCACGATTAAAACGTACGCTGCAGCCATCTCTCCCTGCCACAAAGGGTTCGGAGACAGAACAGCTTTTAATCACCCGCTGCTGAAGCATTTTCTAAAAGGTGTACAGAGACGCAGGCCTGTTTTCACGCCCACTTGTTCCACAGTGGGATTTAACGCTGGTCCTGCGAGCCCTGATCAAAGCTCCATTTGAGCCTATAGATCAGGTTCCACTTAAATTCTTGTCTCTTAAAACAGCCCTGCTGCTGTCTTTAACATCTGCTAAGAGGGTGAGTGATTTATCTGCCCTCTCTGTCGCTCCGTCATGTCTCAGAATTCAGGCTGATGGCAGCTCAGCTGATTTAAGACCAAACTCAGCCTTTATGCCTAAAAACATCACGAGCTCTTTTAAATGAAGAGCGATATCGTTGGAGGCGTTTTTCCCTCACCCCCCACAGATCAGAAGAAGAAGTATCTTTCCATCTTCTCTGTCCGGTGTGGGCATTGACGTGTTACATAGCGCGCACAGCTGTAATGCGCCAAACTCAACATTTGTTTGTGCATTATACAGATGCATCTGCAGGTCGCCTGTTATCCACCCAGTGCTTGTCACACTGGCTGTGTGAGGCCTTTACTGAAGCCTACAGAGCATCAGATTTAGAGCCTTCTGTCAACCTCAGGGTGCACTCGACCAGGGGTATTGCATCTTCAACTGCTTTGCATAATGGTATGACAATGCAGGACATTTGCACTGCGGCCGCGTGGTCAACACCCTGCTCATTCATTCGCTCTTATCTACGTGATGTGACGGCCCGTTCCATGACACATTCTATCCTTAGTGCTCTAACAGAATGAATATTGTTGTTTTCACGGAACTCTGTTTAAGCTCACATCTGTCTGCATGCTTCACAGTGTGAGATGTGTTATCAGTCACAAGTTGTGTCTGTTGTTTTGGTTCTATTGTCACTAATCATTTCATGACTATTGTTACCAATCAGTTCATTTGATTAATAATCAGTTCATTTGTTATTATTAATCTGTCTATACTGTTCAGCCATGAACGCATAGTTACACAACATGCGTCTGTGCATGGCTCACATAATTACGCAATGCGTAATTACGCACATGGGGAGCTGAGTGACAAGACGTTTTTTGGGCAAGCTTCTGCTTCATACGGTGTTCGAATGGACCCAGTGAGGCGAGGACCACATCTGCTTCGCCCTTAACCCACCAAGCGACAGCCTTAAAGGGCGAAGCTTATACGAAATAGAACGTTAGTTACGTACTGTAACCCCAGATTCTATGAGTATAAGCGTAGCCCTTTAAGCGTCGGGCCTCACTGTCTCCTAAATGGCTGAAGAAAAAGCTATTTTGGGAGCCGATTTCCCGCTCTTAACGTAATTTATACGGACCGGGTAGGGCCCACACAGCAGGTGGGCGTGGACTAAATTTTTCAGTGCAATGCTCCACATAATGGGATAAACCCACCAAGCGACAGCCTTAAAGGGCTACGCTTATACTCATAGAATCTGGGGTTACAGTATGTAACCAACGTTTTTGTCTATCCTTTTTTGTCTGTTTAAAGTTACTTCTCCCACAGTGGGTTCTACATTTGGTTAAATCAAAGGGTTTATCAAGCTTTAATTACCGGTCATTAATAAAACCATAAAAAAGAGCTAAAATATTGCATGAAAATTTTTTGTCATAAAAAACATTAAAACTAACCAAACATGTCAGTCCTCATGCTGTAATAAAAGCCAGTGAGTTCAAAAGTGCTTTAAAAATAAACCTAAAGACACCAAGAGTAAAAGTCTGTCTAATATGAATGGGCAGCTGGTCCTGATCTCCTCTGTGGACCAGCCTGGACCTCAGGATATGTGCAAGTTATTTTGTTTGTGGTAAAAGACGAGCCGGCCCGGCTGACACCATACAGTACAAGAGTTACCTTGATCCAGTTTGACTACCTAACTTAAAGATACAGTATAATTATTATTATATCCAAATACATAATGCTTTAATGACTGTTAAGAGAAGCATTTATAAACTGAGACCAAACTAAAAATAAAACATTTCACTTTTAAAAATGTAATTTTCCAGGTATAAAATGTTTTAAATTATGACACAATGCAACACGTCTCATCCTTTTTAAGTATTCTGCTTGAGATGAACTCAAAATGAGAAAACATCAAAAATCAAATCTTTGCCTTATTATTCTTCATCACTATTTTCAGTTGAAACATCAAAATTTTTCTGGGAACAGAGTTGTTTGTGATCATTCATGCTTTACTTTCTCTGTAGATGATGGGAGAGTTACACAACCACTGGTACAAACTGAACTAAACTGACTGAGTTGATTATTTTAGAAAAATACACTTGTTTGATTATTTATTTATTTATTTATTTGCAAAAGTTACACAAAAATATAAATTTCACTGTGACACTTGTTTATGGCAAGCTAAACCAGTATCTCACTGGGTCACATGTTGGTGAGTTGAAATTGAAAAAGTAAAAGGCTAAATTTAAAATGCAGTCTCACTAGATTCCAGCCAAGGGCCTTTGAGCCGTGCAGCCATGCTTTAGGCAAACGGTGAAAATCCCAGTCTATTTTCATGTGTACAGCATGCAAACCCCACCCACCTCACACCTACCTTGACCCCACTTACAATTTATTCAGCTGGAGTGAGTTCATGAAATAAAACAAGCAGAGTTAGACATTTTGGTTAGACCTGGACATATGGCTCTGTGATGTTTTCTGTTTTAAGGACAGTTCCTTTGTAGGTGCCAAAATACAAGTGTAAGTGGAAAAGAGTTCAAGACAACATTGAGACATGCACAACAAATCTGACTCTATTTAGAAAATAATTGTTGCACATTTTTTGAACATGTTCAAAATTCAAGCAACAAGACTGCAAGTCTGTGACTAAGGAACAAAAACTGAAGATGCCCAAATGGGGGCTGTGTTGTGACATGTTTTGAGACATTTTGGAGACTTTGTTGTTCTTTGTTAAAAGGCAGCTGTGGCCAAGTGGTTAGAGCAGTCGTTCTCCAATGCAAGAGTTGGAGGTTCGATTCCACCAGCAGTCACATGCCGAAGTGTCCCTGGGCAAGACACTGAACCCCTCATTAGAGTTGCTTTTGGTCCCAAAAAACCCGACCTGACCCGACCCAGCCCCACCCCCACCCCCACCCCGTAGCCATCATCTCCATAAACCATCCGACCCATCAAATTAACAGTAGTTACAGGTCCGAACGCGAACCCCACCCCCACCCCCAACACCTTGAATTAAACTTTGACTACTAATAAAGTTATTAATGGTTGGTGGATGCACGCTGCTGAGTAAAGAGGGCAGAAGATCGGAGCTGCTTCTGCTTGCATTCTGCATTATTCAGACACGGCCGCTGCTCTGACATGTCAGATATTTTGTGATTTCACCGGTTTGGGTCGTCGGTCACGTGTGTCCGCTGAGTACAGCGGCTGAATGAACGTCCATTTGGGTTGATGGATCGCTGGCAGTAGTCGAGCTTTGAGTATCTTGATAAAATAGAAAGGAAATATGTAAGTGCAGTCCATTTACCATTACCATTCACCAACAATCCCTGTGAGATGCTGGATTAAAGTTTTTGTAGCTTCATTTTTGGTCAAATGGTCATCTTACTTTCTCATATAAGTTTTTATTTCATAAAATGTGCAGCTTTCCATCACTTTATGATTAGAAAACCACTGAGCCTGTTAAGATTGACACTTTTTTTCTGTACATTTTTCACCTTTTCTTACAGAAAGCATCAATTTCTTAAGTCATGAATCGAATCATGGTGTGGGTTTCTTTCTTCTTACAGGCACCTGTTCACGTCTGACATGGACATTCTGATTTGGTTGTTCTTCCTTTCACCTCCCCTTTTATGTCACTGGTGGCAGCTCCTTTTGCTCTGTCAGCTTCACTGATGACTGGCTTTTTGGTTTGTGAATGTCTTGTGATTTGTTTTCCTCTGTGCTGTTTTGACAATAGAAGGTGGATCCTTCAAAAACCAGCACTTTGGAGGCAGCTGCCAATCCAGAACCAGCTCTACCCCCTCAGGAAGAAAAGAAAGGAGCCTCAAAATCATCCTTTCTGTCTGTCTTCAAGTCCAAAGTAAGACTAATTCACTTTTTGTAAGCCTTTATAACCTGAAAACCTCTGAGTATACTTTGTGATGCAATTACATAACATTGAGAAACAAATGAATGTGAATTCGAGGTATTGTTAGATGACATGACCACAAAAGTCCAACCAGCCTCCACAAGTAGAGTTTGTCTCAGGAAAACTACAGTCTAAATACAGTCATACTACCTCTTGTGATTAGCTGCCTCATTAACCAGCGTAATGCCACCAATTACATCTGGGATTATCAGGGTTTCAGGCAGGGCAGGTAAGAATCCGATGGTGCAGGCAGGACTCAGAGGCCAGAATGTAAACATAATAAATAGTTTAATAATGAAACTAAATAGCTGACATGGCAGCAAAAACTTACAAGGATGATAATCCAAAGCACAAGGGACACAGGAGACAGACCAGGAGACAGACCAGGACAATACCAGACGATGGATCGACAATGAATGAGACACAGACCAAGACTTAAATACACAGACTAGACGAGACATAATTAACTACTATGTTAGGGTCCGTAGTGACCCATTTTAAATTTTAAATCATGATACTGTCTTTTAAATATTTTTTTTTTTGCATCAAGGCTTTTTGACTTTGTCTGGAACCTTTATTTAAATAAAAAAAATATTTTTTTTTTTTCACTAAATTTAATTTTTATTTTTTATAGAACAACACGCACTTGCCGCGCTGGGGTAATTTGTGACCCAGTTATGGTATAAGACTATCAACCAATAATCAGTGTCAAAACTGAAATCATAAACACACTGTGACCTCACTAACTTTGTCATACATATGTTAGGGCCTTCTGTTTTTACCTGTTTGTCTACTTCACTGACCAAAACATCCCCATTTATCCGTACTACTTTTATTGATAAGTTCCTCATACTCTGCTCCCAAAAACTGAAAAAGTTCATCCAGCTGTAGATACAGAGACATGTTGAGGCATGCCCATGTAGAGATGAGCCTACCTGGATAGCCATGCCCATCTTGATAGGCAGACCTAGATAGACACACCCACCTGGGTGTGTCTCTACATGGGCATGTAGAGACATGTAGAAACAGACACTCCATTTTACCTAGAGCTTGGCTGCATACCAAAATGAAGAGAAGATTCACAGTACAAGAAGCTCTAGATCACATCCTTGCTGAAAATGATGCAGAGGACACACCTAGTGACACAGATGAGCCAGTTTCTGAGGAGGACGATGCTAGTGAATATGAATCAGAGTACACAGACTCGTCGGATGAGGAGGGCACAGGTGCTGAAGCTGCTCCTGTAACTGAAACCTATAAATCCAAAAAGGGTAACATCACTTGGAGTGCGATTCCTCCTGTTTCACATGGCAGGGAAGCTGCTGAAAATGTTATGAAGATGACCCCTGGGATTACAAGGTTTGCTGTGACACGAGTAAGTGACATCAAGACATGCTTTGATTTGTTTATGCCATTGTCACTAAAGAAAGTCATCATTGCTATGACAAACTTCGAAGGGAAAAAAGTTCACGGTGACACTTGGAAGGACATTGATGAGGAGTGCCTGGATGCTTTTATTGGTGTTCTTCTTCTCGCTGGCGTGTACAGATCCAGCAATGAGGCCCTTACTAGTCTCTGGGATGTGTCCACAGGCAGGAGTATTTTCCGCGCAACAATGTCACTTCAGACCTTTCAAATGATCTCAAGAGTCCTCAGATTTGACAACAGAGATACTAGAGCACGGTCTGACAAGCTTGCTCCCATCAAAGACGTCTGGGATAGATGGGTGAAGCTCCTTCCACTGATGTTCAACCCAGGACCAGAGGTGACAGTGGATGAGCGTCTTCTCCCTTTCCGTGGAAAATGCCCCTTCCGGCAATACATGCCCAGTAAGCCAGGCAAATATGGCATAAAAATCTGGGCAGCCTGTGATGCGAAAACCAGCTATGCCTGGAATCTACAGATTTACACAGGCAAACTTGCAGCTGGCATCCCTGAGAAGAATCAAGGAAAACGGGTAATCCTTAAAATAAATAAATATACATGGGTCAAAACTTACCCTTAACACTATAAATGTTACTATGGTTAATAATATTAAAATAACAAAATAATAAGACAAATTTATTTTAGAGATGTGTTCTAATACTTCTTAAAAAAACACTGTTTTGAGGGCATTTTTTGGCTGATTTAAGACGGGTCACAACTGATCCGTTCACATCATAAGTGCGTGCGGGATCTCGCCCCGCTAGGAAGGTTAAACACCTTGAGGACATGCGGGTGGAACTGATCAGGGCAATGAAGGAGAGACACTCACAGTGAAACCAACAGAGGGATACAATCCTTACAGTACCCCCCTCCCCCACCCCAGGTGTCCTGAAAAGCCCACCCCACAGAACATGGGCGGGAGGAACCGCAAGGATGGAGGGCACAAGGAAAACACAAGAAGAGAACCAAAAACCGGCAAGGAAAAAACCTGGGGACGGCTGTGGCTGAGTGGTTAGAGCAGTTGACCTCCAATGCGAGAGTTGGGGGTTCGAATCCAACAGCAGTCACATGCCGAAGTGTCCCTGGGCAAGACACTGAACCCCTCATTGCTGCTGATGTGTGTCCCATCAGTGTGTGAATGTCATAAAGGTCTGATTAGTCTCTTTAGAATAATTTGTTCAATTAGCTTTGTAGAGATCTAGTAGAGTGCTGTATGAATGGGTAAATGACACACATATTGTAATGTAAAGCGCTTTGAGTATCTCAATAAGATAGAAAGGCGCTATTTAAGTACAGTCCATTTAACATAAGACATACAGTACACAAAACAGAAATGTCTAGACGGTCAGGGAACCATCCCAAGGCTGGCAGAGTTCAGGGTGGGCAGACAGGAGGCTGTCCAACACGCTGGAGCAGGTCAGGCGGGCGGTCGTCCATCTCGCTGGAGTAGGACCATGGATGCTAAGGAGCACCCAACTGCTGAGGCGCTTGGATGAGGCGAGGAGCCTGGATGAGGCATGGACCCAAGGTGAGGCAAAGACCTTGAGAGGTGAAGCAAAGACCTGAAGGATGTGGAAACCTAGAGGACATGGAACCCTCAACAGGAGGCATGGAAACCTCTGGGCGTGCAGCTGCCAACATGGAGACCACCCTGGGAGCTGCATGTGGCATGGAGACCACAGCAGGAGGCTGCGTGGACACACACACTCCGATGGCGTGGAGCCTCCTGCAGGAGGTGGCGGAGAGGAGCCTGCCTGGACTCCCACAGCTGGACAGAAGGAAGGTGGTAAGGATTCTGTTCTGACCCCCATGGAGAGACTCAGAGGCAGGGCCTCAGGACCAGTTCCCAAGGAGACACAAGGAGGTGAGGAGTCTGGTCCAACCCCCACAGAGGAACTCAGAGGCGGAGCATTGGGACCATCTCCCATAGGCACATAAGGAGGAGGTGGGGTGTAATGGTTGTACCCCACAGAGGCACAGGCAACAGAGGTCGTAGGTGGGTCAGCCCCCACACCAAGCAAGGTGCAGTGAGGAGAGTCTTCCAGAACCCTCTCAGAGATGCAGGGAGCTAACGACTCTGGGTCTGAAGTAGTCATGTCTAGGTCTGGAGCTGACTCTAGGTCTAAGGCAGAGTCTGGTTTGGATGCAGGCGAGTCTGAGTCTAGAGAAGAGCCAGGCTGTGGGGTTGAGTCTGGGTCTGAAACTGGAACAGAATCTGGGTCTGAGACTGGAACAGAGTCTGGGTCTGAGACGAACAGGGTCTGGGTCTGAGTTAGTTCTGTAGCTCAGGGGTGCCCAACCTTTTTTGAACCAAGAGCTACTTTTGAAGTCGGCAATTTGCCGAGAGCTACTCGTCCAGTCTCATTATCAACAAACATAATTTTTCATCAATCCCTACTCCTCACTTCTTTAAAGTAAATAAAACAGAACGTGATGTGTCTATAGGAGACAACTTTTTATGCAAGCTGTATAAAATAAATGTGTCTCTACCTTAGTGGGACTTCTGACACTGAGAGGAGGAGGCCAGGGTCTCATAAGATGGGCAGTATGAGGTGGTTGCGAGGCGCAGGCAGGTCTCCAAATGATCATCATTCATTGTGGATCTGTTTTTGGACTTGATGATTTTCATGTGTGAAAAAGCAGACTCACACAGGTAGGTAGATCCAAAAAGTGCTGTTAAGTTCAAAGCACATCTTCGGATGTTAGGATACTTTTCTTCTGACAGCAGACTCCAGAACTCTCCATCCACGCCAGGTGATGCTCTGGATTTGATCCCAATGTCATTTTGCAGACTCAACACCTCATTTTCAACACCAGAGCTGTCCAGCTGAAACACGGACACCAATTTGGACACAATGTCATCCACATCAACATTTCCAAAAGGATAACACATGTAGCTGGTAACAGGCTCGATGGAGGAAAAGTCAGTAAATCGTCTCTCAAATTCTGCTGAGATGCTCTGAACCTGCTTAGAATAGTGTGCACTGTCCAGTTGTGGGACTTCTTTCCCTTGGCGCTGTAGCTCTGCCTCCATGTGTGGGAAGTTTCGCAGGTCCCTGCGTTGCAGCCGACTTGTGAGCAGTTGCAGCCTGCTTTTGAAGGTGTTCACAGAACTGATCATGTGGATTATGTTTTTGTCCTTTCCCTGAAGCTCCAAATTCAGTTCATTGAGCAGGCTGGTGAGATCTGTGAGGAAGGCTAAATCCAAAAGCCACTGGGTGTCCTCTAGTTTTGAATGTTCACCATGATCTGACAGCTTCAGAAAATCCCTGATCTCAGGCAACAGCTCACTGAATCTGTCCAGAAATTTACCTCTGCTTAGCCACCTGACGTCCATGTGCAGCAGCAGGTCTGTGTGGTCTGCTCCTGCCTCCTCCAAGTGAGCCCGGAACAACCTCCTCTGCAGACTCCTGGCCCTTATAGAGCACACAGTTTTCATGGCAACATCCATCACTTCCTTCATGTTTAAAATCTTCCCACACAGGGCCTGTTGGTGGATGATGCAGTGATAGTGCAAAATGTCTGGGAAAGCATCATTCTGCTTGCAGAGTGCAACAAATCCACTGGTGTGACCAGTCATTGCTGGAGCGCCATCAGTTGTTATAGAAATTAGTTTAAAGTGGGGCAAGTTGCTTTTATTAACAAACTCCATAAACACATTAAAAATATCTTCTCCTCTTGTATGTCCCTTCAAAGGCAAGATGGTGAGCAGCTCCTCTTTTGCACTCATGTCTGCAAAGGCCATTCTGATAAAAACACACAGCTGGGCTACATCCACCATGTCTGTCGACTCATCAAACTGAAGAGAGAAACACTCGCATTGTTCCACGTCCTTTTTTAGCTGCTCCTCCACATCCACAGCCATTCCCTCACATCGCCGTGTCACTGTTTGTCTGGACAACTGCACGTCTTTAATAGCAGCTACAATCTCACTTTTATTTTTAAAATCATGAAAAAGCGCATCTGCAGCCTCAATAAACGCTTCTTTCATAACTTGTCCATCGCTGAAAGACTTCTTATGTTGAGCCAGGATGCGGCTAACACGGTAGGAAGCTATCGTAGCAGCTTTACCTTTTGTGCTGGGGCGAGTGAAGACTGATTGCTGGGCTGCAAGCTTGTTTTTTAGCTCCCGCACTTTCTGAGTCCGTAAAGAACTTTTAAGAGGGAAATCTGTCTCAAACCGTTTGTGCATCGTCTTGAAATGCCGCTCCAAGTTACACTTTTTGGGTAAGGCAACGCTCGAATTACAGATGAGGCAAATGGACTTCGAATTAGAATAAACAAAAAAATACTCCTCCTCCCACTCTGTGTGAAAATAATAAGTTTTCGTTTGCTTGTTCGCTAGTTTTCCATCCATGTTTTCTGCGCACCGACATTACTCAACTACTGAGACTAAAGTCTCGTGAGAGCACTGTGTCACCGCACCCAAAACTCGCGAGACTATGTCTGTGAGAATACAAGTCAAGGCTTTGCTTCGCGGGCAACTGGGAACCAGCTCTGGTTGGGCACACCTGCTGTAGCTGATGAGTTTGGGTCTGTAACAGAGTCTAGTTCTGCAGCAGGGGAGTCTGATTCTGTAGCAGAGTCAGAGTTCATAGGTGACCCAGAACCCTCACCAGGCAAGGAGTAGTGGGAGGAGCTATCCAGGACCCTCTCTGAGGATAAATGAGAGGCGTCCTCCTGGACCTTCTCTGAGACATTGGGGGCAAGAGGTTCAGAGGTGACACAGCAGAATTGGAGAGATATGGGTTCTTGTAATGTTTCTTAAAAGTTCTTATTTTACTGAGGAGCTGGTGGTACTCGGGATCTGGATCAGTCTGGGTCAAGACAGCAATAATCTCTCAGCCAGGGTGTATGTGAGGATCTGAGAGTCTGTGTCAAGTGCAGCAGAAAAAAACTGATTTTGGAGTGTGTTGTTTATAGTGACCAGTTCAGAACTGTCAACTGACTGAGAACACAACTGCTCAGAGTGCCCTCTGGGTTGACCCCCCTTTGAACCCATTGATGAGCAGGGGCCTGGTTGTTCACGAGGAGAGCAGGGGGAAGTCCGAGACTGAGATGTGTCAGGTGCAGTCCTTACTAAGGCTCTGTATGGGGTGAGGTGTCGGACCCGACCCTCACCGGAAACCTGGAAGGTGAGGCGTTGGAACTAGCCCCCACCAAAGCATTGGGACCAGGTCCAGGAAATTCAGCCTCGCCAGACTGAGTGTGAGAAGCTGGGCGTGCAGAAGGTGCCTGAAGAAGTACAGTGAACCAGTTCCAGGTCTGCTTTCTGTCTTTCCTGCTATGGCGTTCACGTGTCCGGGCAAGTTTGATCGGGAACCTACCACACCGGCTCACAGAATCCTCCATCCGAGTCTGCTCGTTTAAACAGGTGAGCGAAGCCAGGGATGAGCTGCCTGCTGGGTTCTGGTTGTTCAGTCCATAATGTCAGGGTTTCAGGCAGGGCAGTGCACGAAAGAACCCAATGGTGCAGGCAGGACTCGGAGGCCAGAATGTAAAAATAATAAATTAATAATGAAAATAAATAGCTGACATGGCAGCAAAAACTTACAAGGCAGATAATCTAATACATGAGGGACACAGGAGACAGACCAGGAGAATACCAGATGATGGACCGACACCAAATGACACACAGACCAAGACTTAAATACACAGACTAGATAAGACATAATTACAAACACCTGGAGTACATGCAGGTGGAACTGATCAGGGCAATTAAGGAGAGACACTAGGGAGTACAGACACAGGGAGACCAACAGAGGGATACCATCCTTACAACTTTAAACTTATTTGCCAGATTTACTCGGCTTCATTTGTTGTATTCAAAAACTATAACAGCACTTGCGATCATCTTTCATAATGGCACAGTCACTAAGACAAACTGGAGCCTAACAGCAGATGTACATATTCATATTCACTACAGTTTATATAATCTTAAAAGGATAGGTTGGTCATTTTGTCTAAGTGATGTCCTTAGATAGATACCTTTACTAAATGGCTTTTCCATGTAGGTGAATGTTTCTGTAAAGTGTCCTGAGACATTGTTGTGAATTGGCGCTATATAAATAAACTGAATTGAAAAAAATAACTGAATTCTTTCAGAGATTACCGAGATTTATTTAAATGGACTGTACTTATATAGCACATTTCTACCTTATTTCAAGATACTCAAAGCGCTTTACAACACAATCTGTGTCCTCATTTACCCATTCCTACAGCACTCTACTAGATTTTATTTACTTAAAACGTTATCAGCCGGTACATCGGTCATAAAACACAGATAACAAAAAGGGCAGGTCTTTATCTATGCTATGCTAATAACGAGCTACATAAGAGCCCAGGTCATGTGGTTTATTTTAGGCTTATAAAAGAGACAAAAAAATGTAAAATGTCATTTTAATGTAAAAAAAAAACACGTTTAGGTATGAGACCAAAATAAAAAAAATGATGTCCATGATTTTTTTCTTTGTTCATATGTAATGGATGGAGCTTAGTAAAGTGATTGACACCAAGATTATCTAGATTGGTGAAGAAATAAGGAAGTTGTGGCAATTTTTGTCTAAAATAAAATTAAATTATTTTTCCTTTGGTTTGACCTTAACAACCAAATAAAATTGTGATGGACCTGCAACAAACATCAAAATAACTTAACTTCCTTATTTCTTGAGATAATCAGAGGAAATTTTCAGAAGAAGAAGGAACGTATGTTCTTGTCATACGCTACCAATATTCATTATTGTCTTCCCTGTTTAACAGGCGACATGTGCATTGCATGCCTTTGGTTTATAAGGGTGCATTCACACTAGCCCTGTTTAGTCCGCTTTAATCGAACTCTAGCTCGTTTTCCTTGAAAGTCCGGCTCGTTTAGAGAGGTGTGAACGCACCATCGAACTCTGTCATGGAACAAAAAGGCGAACTCTGGCCCGGGCTAAAACCTAGGTCTCGGTCCAGTAGAAACGAACTCCAGCGCGGTTCGAGTACAGTGTGAATGTAAACAGACCGAGCCCTGCTCCGCAGGGTAAACAAACACGCATTTCTCTGACCTTATATGGAGCGGTCAGCTGCCTTGTGTGAAAAACAATATTCTCCTTGGTCTTCTGTCTCATCTTCTGCTCATGCTAAGTCCATTTTTGAAAAATGACAAAATATAACTCCTAAAACTGCTAAAACTTGATGCCACTTCGTTTTTATTATTATTTACAGAAGAAGAAGAAGAAGTGTCTTCAGAGGTTTTTGTGTCGTTTCTTTCAGTAGTTCTAGGTGCAGCGCCCCCACAGGCAAGCGGGGGAATAGATTGGTTCAACAGGTTGACTCGACTGCACAGTGCAGTGTGAATGCAAACTCACCAACTCAAATGTAAACAAAAGCTCATGAATATTGGTCTCGAACCGAACCGAATCTACCGGACTATCTTGTGTGAAAACGACCTAAGTTTCTTATTGGCATGATTCCACATTATTTATGTACTTTTATACGAAGAATGGACAGTAGTTATGCCTTACGTTCTAAGGACTGTTTGCATCTTCATGTTCCTCGTGTGCAAACAGAAAAGGGCAAGAAAGCTTTTAGCTTTTCTGCCCCCCTCAGCTTGGAATGCCTTGCAAGCTGAATTAAAACTGACAGAACGTGTTACTTTGAGTGCTTTTTGCAAACTTTTAAAAAACCGACAAAAGATATCTTGTCAACAGTGCCTGTGTTTTAGATCTTAAATTGTTATTGTTTTAAATAATTATTGCCATTTATTGTTATACTGTATGTTTTATATTTTTATATATTTTTGAAGTCTTCATAATCTTGCTACTTGTTTTGTTGTTTATGACGTGTGCTGCTGCTGCCTGTTCTTGGCCAGGTCACCCTTGTGAAAGAGGTCTTGATCTCAATGGTTTTTTTATCTGGTTAACTAAAGGTGTAATCAAAAAAAATAATAATTTAATAATTCAATTCAATTCAGTTTTTTTTATCTAGCGCCAAGTCACAACAGAAGTCATCTCAGGGTTCATTCAGTTCAGTTAAGAACAGTAAACTGCATAATCCTGGACTTGATGCAAACAAAATAGGCTCTATTACTCAAGCTAGATGGAAAACAATGTGATTACCCAGGGATCAAAGATAAACATATTTCACTGTTTTGCATCCGCCATGAAAGGGCATAAAGCATTGGCGTGTTCAGGGTCTCAAAAACCATGTTCTCAACATCCGATAGTCATGAAAGTCAGTCAGTATTTAGATAAAATAAAATATTTTAGTCTATATTTAATTGAGTGTCATAAACCTGAGTGTGCTTTTTGAACTAGAGTGACATTTTCATCACCCATGAACTTCATTTAAAAGCAGCAGAATCCATCCAATCAAAAACGTGGTGAACAAGTAACTTGCTGGCTACGTCATACTAAAAATTCAGTCACTCGTTCAAAATTCAGTCCAACTGGTTTTATAGAGCTTTTCTCCCTGATTTCAGGCAGCTGAGCCCAAAAAAACATCTTCAGCCCCAGCTGCAGCAGCAGAAGCAGCTCAAGTGGCTAAAGCCAAAGAGGAACCAAAAGCTGCAGCCAAGTCCTCAGAGGCAGTTGTTGATAACAAACCAGTGTCTGCAGTCCTTCAAGCAGGAGACGATGCAGTCGGTGCACCCAAAAAACTGGAGAAGAGGAACTCCATCCAGTTGTTCTTTAAAAACCTGGTGAGGACATCATTGTATCAAACAAACACACACAACACATTTTATCACTTTGAAAAAACACACGTTTAAATAAATACTTATATATGTAACCTACCTGCTGCCCTTGGGTCAAAACAAGCCATGAGGCCACCATTTTCAAACTGAGGCTTTTGAACTGAGGCTCCATTGTTGAAATGATACAAAAGATGGTTCTTCAAATGTCCCAAATTCTCAGAAGGAAGATTCTTCAGAGGAACTAACTTGGCACCAGTCTTCAAGGTTCCCTTCTTGCACTTCCTGCAGAATTCAGTCTGTCCTTGGATGTTTTCTTTGGACAGAAGTGATTTCTTTGTTGTCAGTCTTGTCCCAAGGCTGTTGTCTTTGCCTCACAGCAGATGCACTCACACCCTCCTGGTGATAACAGTAAGTTCTGTTCTGCTAGAAACATGATTCTGTAGTTCATGCCTCAGGAGGAGAGTCCTTGTGATTGCCGGACTATCTTGCACATCTTTCACCCTTCTTCACCTCTCACATTGAAGTTCTTGATGATCCAGAACAGCTGTTCATTCAGGTTCATTATTCTCAGCAGCAGTTTCTTTCCACATGAGGCAACAGTGATGCCTAACTGATGACTGCGCACTTTTCTTTGGAAGTATTAATTACAAACACACACAATTTTCTCATTTACAGCAAAAGGTCTGTTAATGAAACTGATAAAGTGATTAAAGCTCTACTTTTATACAGTTTCACTTGTATTTTTTATAATTGACCTTTTTATTGTTACAAATGTGCATGTATAAAATCAAACACCATGCTCCAAATACATTGATAGTTATTTCTGGTATTAGAGATTGATGCTCAACTTTAATCTTTCAGCCCTTTACACCCACTTTTTATTATAGCTATACAAAATAAATATCTTCTTCTTCTTTCAGTTTTTCCCTCTTCAAGGGTCTCCACAGCGAGTCATCCTCCATCTCTGTCCTCTGCATCCTCTGTCCTCACTCCAACTACCTTCATGGCCTCTCTAACTGCATCCATATATCTCCTCTTTGTCTTTTTCCAGGCAGCTGTATTTCAAACATCCTTCTACCAATATACCCACTGTCCCTCCTCTAGACTTGTCTAAACCATCTCAGTCTTGCCTCTTAAACTTTATCTTCCAGTTGTTCAACCTGTGCTGTCCCTCTGATGATCTCATTCCTAATCTTATCCATCCTTGTCACTCCTAAGGAGAACCTCAATATTAATTCAACCTTTATTTAGACAGGTAAATCCCACTGAGCCTCGAGGACTCATTTACAAGAGAGACCTGATTTCAACAAAGAATGATGACAACAATGGACAACAGCTAAAACAATAGACAGTTATAAAAAGGCATACAGATTTTTTTTTATTATTATTACAAATAAGATGGCTAAAAAAGGTAACAAAAACAGCTGGATTATAAGGCGAATGTAGAAAACTAAAAACAGGAACATGTCTGCGTTGGTCCTATCTTCATTTCTGCCACTTCCAGTTCTTTCTCCTTACAAAGTAAATAAAATAAATTTGTTTTATTGGTGCTCTATGTTTTGATACTTGAATGTCCCCAACATGCCATGTTGCAGAGTGTCTGATTGACTGCAGAGCACAGCTGAAACATGAAGTGAACTCTGTTTAGACAAAGAGTATTTTAACAAACTAAGAAGGCATGAATATATCTAGACCACAATGCATCACAAAATACTGACACTGAGCATGCACATTAGTAAGTGTAAAGGTTAATACTGAAATGAAATTGTTTCGTGCCAATGCAGTCATATACAGGGAAATTAAAAATTAAACTATATAAATTTGCCTTTTCTGTGAAGTTATGTAAATGCTGAGCAATTATTGACTTTTCTGAAACTCACCAACGAAGCGGAAACTTAGTTGTTAAAGCCAAAATAAGCAGGGCACTAGCTAAAACTGGGAAGAAGCTAGGTTGGTTAAAAGCTAAAAGTAGCAAATGGTGGCTAAATGCTAAAAGTAGCACAAAACTAACAAGCTGCAAGTATTAAAAGACTGGCTAGAAGCTAAAATTAGCACCAGTTTGGCTAAAACCAAAAAATAGCCAAAGAAAAAACTAATTGTAAAATAAAATATAAGAGCCAGAATGCTGAAGTAGATTTCACATATGACAATCTTTAAAAGAAATGGTAAAAAATCCTAATGTAAAGAAAGTTAATGCTTTGAAAATAGAAATATTTTTAAACCGTTATTCATTTCCTTAATTAACTAAATGTTTTGATATGCAGAGCTAAAACTGCAAACATGTGCAGGAAAAGAGGAAAATAATGCGAACACTGTGAGGTTCTTTGTAATAATAGGCATCTGACCTGCCTGCAATAAAATTCAAAACTAATGTGACATGTTGTCCATTGTTGTCATCACTCTTTGTTGAAATTAGGTCTCTCTTGTAAATTTTCGGCGGTTGTGGCTGAGTGGTTAGAGCAGTTGTCCTCCAACGTGAGAGTTGGGGGTTCGAATCCACCAGCAGTCACATGCCGAAGTGTCCCTGGGCAAGACACTGAACCCCTCATTGGCTCTGATGTGTGTCCCATCAGTGTGTGAATGTTAGAATCATTTGTTCAATTAGCTTTGTAGAGATCTAGCAGAGTGCTGTATGAAAGGGTAAATGAGGACACATATTGTGTTGTAAAGTGCTTTGAGTATTTTGAAATAAGATAGAAAGACGCTATATAAGTACAGTCTATTTACCATTTACCATTTAAATGAGTCCCCGAGGATCAATGGAATTTACCTGTCTAAATAGTTTGAACGAATGAATGACATCAATTCCGGAAATACCGAAAACAACACAAACACTTTTGTGTCATTTCCAAAATGACTAACGTCGATCCATACTGAAAAAGTCCATGCTCAATAATCCAGGTATACATGCCTTCCAGATGGAAGGTGAAACGTTTCAGCAAAAAAAAAAAAAAAGAAACCGTCCAGATGACCTGACTGAAAATTGTTGGATCCATATTGAAGTTAGTTTTGAGTAACCACCACTAGAGGGCAGCATTTCTGCTATGTTCCCTACAAGACATGCTTTAGTGGGAACAAAGCAGACTGGCATGCCACATCTGTTACACAACTTGCATTTTTCTTCTCTATTGTGGTTTTATACTGTCATGCTGATTTATTGATACCAAACTTCTCTTTGTTCTAAGTTTAACTTCACTTAGAGGAGTCAGTTTAAAGAAATGTTGATACATGAGATTGTTACCGCAGGTTAGAGATGATGTTCAGTCAGTTCTTGAGTGAAAGTGAATTTGTTCTTTTGTCTCTTTATATTGCAGGGTCAGAAACGCCACTCCACAGATGCCGGGGTCCAAACAGAACCACTGACTGCTGCTTCATCTGAGAAAACCAAATGAAACCCTCAGCTTTCCATGTACAGACCCTCCTCCTCCTCTTTAGGTCATACTCAATCTTCGCCTCCTTGTCATCATCAGACTCTCTTTTGAGTTACTTTAACAACTTTTTGTAGCCATTCCAAAATGAAAACAAATGATGTTGGATAGACTGGGGAAAATGAACAGAAAACATAATAATGAAGTTGTTGAACTAGAGAAAATTAAAAGAATAAATTAATGGCAACGTTGGAGCTTATATATTCTTTTGATCACATAAACATCTTGATAAATACAGTAATGAAGGTGTGAAATGTTTTCTCCAGAAGTTTAGGCCTAGTCTAAACTTTCAGTGTTTAAACTAACATACTGAGCTTTTGCAATATAAAGTGCTGCACTTTGCTTCAAGTACCAATAAAAAAAAGGAAAAAGGTTTGTAGGCCAAGTACCAATACTTAATCTGTCTGATAAACAGCTAGTCTTACACACTATATTATTTGCTATTTATTTTCAGAAATCTGCACTTTGGTGAATGCAGAGTGTGAATTAACGGCCTTCAATAGACATGAAGAACTTGTTTATACAGCAGACTGCACATGGTTAAATGTAGACTTAAGCAAACACATATATAAACTATAACAGTTAAATATGGGGCTTTAAGGGAAATCATAATTTCTGCTTCTCTCCGAGAAGCTGACTGTAAATACTAATGTTAACAAATCAACTGGGTATAATGGTCTCTTTATTTTATTTTATTTTTTTGCAAATAGGTCTTAGTGTTTCATTCGCTCAACCATTTAGCTTTTACCTCCACTAAATCATAACATACATTATGTCATTAGTTAAAGTCTTGTGGGGTTCTTAGTGTCTGTCATGTGCACAAATTAATAAGATGCTTCTGTTGCCTGTATGTGTAACTTCAGCTCTTTGACAAATAATAAATATGTTCAACAGTTGTCTGGTCTTCATACATCCTAAAAATAATGATAAACTGCATAGAACATCTGTACTCATCCACATATGGTATATGCAGTGGTGTAATAAAAATCCATAAATGTTTTGCTTTTACAGAGTCTTTTTTGTTTCTTTGTATTTTTATGTGCTATTTTGCAATAAATCTCAAGTTTTGTTTGTTTGTTTGTTTTTTATTATGATGTGATTTAAGTAGTTTTCAGTTCACTTCTTGTATCTTCTCATTCAAACAAAGTAAGACATCTAACTCCATCCATCATTATTTTTTACCTGCTTCTCCAGCGTGTCCTGTGTTATGAGTCTTCCCTGGGGTCTCCTTCCAGTCAGACATGCCCAAAGCACCTTCCTAGGGAGGCGCCCAGGATGTATCCTTGCCAAATGCCCGAACCACCTCAAATGGCTCTTTTCGTTGTGGATGAGCAGCGGTTCTACTCCGAATCTCTCCTGATAACTGAACTTCTCACCCTATCTTGTGAATAAAACCCTTAGATACTTGAACTCTTCCATTTGATGCAAAACCTCACCCTCAACAACGAAGGGAGCAATCCAACATTTTCTGACTGAGAACCATGGCCTCAGATTTGGAGGTGCTGTTTCTCATCCTAGCTGCTTCACACTTGGCTGAAAACCACTCCAGTGAAGTTTTTGTCCTTGGTTACCCATGGCCCAGGAGAAATTTGATAGTCGGCCCATTCCGAGGCCGTCGGGAGTCTGATTCAGATAAGCTTTGATTGTTGATTTTCTTCAGGCAGACAGATTACTTTTTCTTTAGATTTGAGTCCATCTGGACGTTCTGGTTCCAAAATAGCCTAATTGTGAGATTCCATTCCACTGATCCATGCTATGAGTCTCTCTCAAGGTCGAACCCACCACGTTGACGAGTCCCAGAAGCCGCAAGTTGCCTGCGATTCTCATAAATCGCCTCCACCTTACAGTTTAGCTTGTAAACCAATTGATTTAGAGTTCCAACAGCACGGACCAAACCTTCACACTGACTCGGAAGTGTTGCCATGGCCGAAATTGCTGCCGATGTCTTCTTCAATAGTTGATAAAACAGAGCGCTGCCGATGGCAAAAAGCAGATTCCCTGTTATCATAAATCCAAATATGTAAACGTCTTCAGCATCCTCCTGAGACAGAACTGAGAGGCACATCAGCTGCCACACTCCCCACGGGTCCATGACATACCCCACAGCGTGCGTCTCAGCTGGACATGCAGGCTCTCCAGGAACTTGTCACTTTGTTGAAAAAACCTTATCAATAAAGTTGAACGCCCAGGATACCAGATCCATAATATTTATGTTCAGGAGATGTGAACCAGGCACTTCAAACACACAGAGAGCAGAGCAGGAGGAAGGAAAAATGAGGGAGGAAAGGCAAAAGCAGCCACCTCGATCAAGAGCCAGAGAGGAAAAAAAAAACAGGAACACATCATCTGCAAATAGCAGAGATGGCTGCATGGAGAAATTCTGTCCATGAAAGTTATGAACAGAATCGGTGACAATGGGCAGCACTGGCGGAGTCTAACTCCCTTCCTAAAGGGGTCCGACTTAGTACCAGCAATGCAAACCAAACTTTTGCAAAGCTTGTATAGGGACTAAACAGCCCATAGCAACGGGCCCCCATCCCATACTCATGGAGCACCCCCCACAGAGTACCTTGAGGAACATACCAGACAGCCTTCTCCAAGTCCACAAAACACATGTAGACTGGATAGGCAAACTCCCATGACCCCTCGAGGACCCTAGTTCAATTCAATTCAATTCAGTTTATTTATATAGTGCCAAATCACAGCAAAGTTGTCTCAGGGCACTTTACAGAAACATTCACATACATAAAAGCCAATTAGTAAGGTTCTCTATCTAAGGAATCCAACAGACAAGTGTAATCTTGGCTTCGTTGCAGTCTCCCATCAACGGTGGAATAACAACATCAGAAACCTGCGTGTGTGTAGAATTCATAGCATCTGAGTTGCGCACCAAACCAGATGTTGGGTCAGTAGTCTCTCTAAACTGAGTCTCTGGTGTTGTTTCTGGCACCAGCTGAATATGTCTCCTGTTTCTGCGAGTGATATGTCCATTTCCAGTTTGTACAAAATAAGAACAGGGCTCTGGTGCCTGAGCAATAACCCTTGCAGAAGTCCCCCAGTTCTTTTGTCCATCCAACTTGACTCTCACTTCCTGAGCCTGTTGTAATGCAGGCAATGGTCGAGCAGAGTGTCGTCGGTTGTAGAAATAGCAGTACGAATCCTTAGTTTTCTTATCTGCTTCTTGAACCGCATAATAGTTTATTTGACTAGGAGAAAGATGTTTTGACAACATGGGAACTGTTGTCCTGACCCGTCTTCCCATCATAAGTTGTGCTGGGCACAATCCTGTCGCCGTGTGAGGAGTAGCTCTGTAGCTTACAAGAGCTAAATGCGAGTCCGGCTGTCTCAGAATATGTTTTGCCACTGCAACACTTCTTTCAGCTGCTCCATTAGCCTGGGGGTAATGTGGACTGGATGTTGTATGTTTAAAGTGGTATGCCGCACTGAATTGCTTGAACTCAACTGATGTAAACTGCGTTCCATTATCAGTTATCAGCTCAAAAGGGATCCCCCATCTAGCAAAGATGCTTTTCAAACGAGAAATGACTTGTTGACTAGTCATGGAAGATAAATGTGCAATCTCAATATCTCATGAGAAATTATCCACTACAACCAAGTAATGTTTCCCATTATGATCACAAATGTCAGCTGCAGCCTTCTGTCCTGCTCCATCTGGCAGAGGTGTTGGAATCAAAGGCTCCTTTCTTTGAGATGCTTTATTTTCTTGGCAAAACTTACACATTCTAACCAATTCTGTGATGTTTCGTCCAATCCCTGGCCACCATACTGACATGTTGGCTCTAAGTCTGTATTTAGTTAGGCCCTGGTGACCATCATGAATCTGTGACAACACCAGTCGACGCAATAGTTCTGGAACAACAATTCTGTTGTCATACAGAAGTAGACCATCAGTTGTCGACAGATGAGCTTGTTAGGAGTGCGCGGGGAACCCAGATGGTATGAGACCCAGAACGAGGCAGACACAGGGGAAATACAAAAGAACAGTGTTTATTATGTACAGTGATATTAAAGTGTCCACAAGCTGCTTCACAGAGGCTCCTGGAAAGAGGGACGACAGGTTAATAGTTGTCCAACGGGGAAGGCCAGAGTAGTTTGTTTAATGAGCGTTTGTCCTTACAGTCCAAAACCCGAGGAGGTGAGCTGGTCCTTCAGTCCAAGGAGAGCGAGCAGCAGAGGGAAATCCAACAAGGGTCCAAAGGGAAACGAGGAAGGCTGGCAACTGGAGGCAAAGAGGCACGAGGAATACCTGACAGGCCAAGGGATCCAGGTCAGGTCATGAGGGAATCCAAAAAGCACGAGGAACCAGGAAACTGGAAAAAAGAGCAAAAGGTGAACAAATTATTTTCACCAAGACATTTGCCTCACAACAGTACTATACCATAAGAGGTGATATGCTCCAGCGTTGAGTCACACCGGACTGCAGCCTTAAGTAGATGGAGAGGCTCATCAGGCTGATGGCCGCCAGGTGTTGGTAATCAGCGGCCATCAGCAAGGCAGGCTGCAGGCAGTGGGACCCTTACAG